CCCCTACTTGTCTGTAAGTGTCTGCAAGACTGAAATCACGACTTTACTCTAATGCAGTGTTTAGCACTGATCAATGCTTAACACTTGTTTGTTGAATGAAAAACTTTGCCTTACAAAGACCTGCTGATTGTTAAAGTACAGTTTCTGTAAAGTTATGAAAAACAGAGATCATGCTGGCTTGATTAATAAGAAACGAGAATTTAAATTGAAAGGAGCTTACTGGGAAAGGAATCAAGTCATCTGGAGATGAGATCGCCAACTCTGTTTTTCTGTAAAACATGGGCAAAAGTCCAGCCTATTCTGATTCTACTATATTACGAACATTTTAGGCAATTGCTACTTTCCAATCATTAACTACTTAACAGAGAAATTAAGAAAATAGGCAAAAGCGGTAGGAGACAGTGCTAATCAGAAATCATTAAAAAAAAATTAAGTTTAACATCACCAATGTGTACACCTTGTGCCTGGACAGAAGATTTGGGACATAGTAAGAAAAGATAAACCCCACAGTGACATTCTAGTTTTACTGATTTTCTAGAAAAGCTCTGGACAGTAATTCCCAATCTACCATGGAAAGCAATACCCTAATATTCGCTTGATTTTTAATTTTTACTTATATATTTTCAAAGCACATCCACCATCATCCATTGTACTTTCTCCATCCTTGTTCCACTTCCCACCCTCTTCATCTCTGGTAACTTCAATTTGGTTATCAATGCCTATTAGTTTATTTTCATTTTGTTTTGTTTGTTCATCTGCTTTGTTGCCTTATAAAGCTCATGTAGATGAAATTATCTGATATTTGATTTATCTTTCTGATTTATTTCATTTCACATAATACCTTAAAGTTCCTTCCATTTTGCTGCAAATGGTGTAATGATTTTTCCTATAGCTGAGTAGTATTCTACTGTATGTACATGCCACACGTTCTTTGTCCTGTCATCTGTCAGTGGACACTTCTGCATCTAGCCATTGTAAATACTGCTGCAACAAATATGTGGGGCATGTAACACTTAGAGTTAATCATCTCATACTTTTCAGTACATTCCCAGAAGTAGGGCTGCTGGGTCAAATGATAATCCTGTACCTCTAAAATGCTTATAGTATTGTAAACCAATGCTACCTCTATAAAACAGATAAATAAACCATCAAAATATGATCATATTAAGGTTTTGGAGGAAGGTCCATGCCACTTTCTAAAATGACTGCAACAATTTAGATTCCGACCATCACTGCATAAGGGCTCTTCTTTCTCCACATCCTCTCCAACATTTGTAAGTCATCTTTTTGTCATAAGTCATTTTCATAGGGGTGATACATCTTATTGTGATTTTGATTGCTTAGTTTGAAAAAAAAAAAAACAAACACCACCTTTTGGGCACATGGTTATGTATGCCTTACACAATTTATAAAGTAAAAATTAAAAAAAATTGAAAATCCTGTTGCCTCTTCTGGTAAACCTAGTTAATTTCCCCCATCCCACCACAAACCCCCATACAACCTCCACAGGATAAAACCAAAACCAGATTTCCAGGCGGCTTTGCAATAAAGCTACTGTAGCCAAGACTTTGGGCCAAATACTGCCATCTAGCGGAAGTGAATATAAACACTTCAGTTTATATCAGAAGAAAGAAAACAGTTGGAATTCAGATTGGGGAGCACCCAAGGAGAGAAGGGAGCCAAATGCTCTGTATCAGCTAGTTTTCTGCCTCACATGAGTGTATACAAAGACGTCCTCTTTGGTCTTACCTGTATCTGCAAACCTGAGTTGCAACGGCTGGACCACGGACCACCTCCTCTGTGAAGTCTGGGCTTCATTTAGAGCATTTCTCAGGTGGGCTTCTCAGGTGAGGCTACTCAGGTGGGCTACTCAGATCTGTCTCTCTTTCCCTCTCCCTCTCTACTCCTCAGACTATGAGGCCCTGAAGGATAGAGATCTTGTTTCATACATAGATCCTGGCCCAGTCAGGAAAACATCCGCCTTCCAGGGATGTGGGAGGAGAGAGTGGCAGAGCTAGGGCAAGTTACTCAGGACATCCCTGGATGCTCCTCTAATGTCCCTGCTCTACCTCTCCACCACCACCCCTCCAGTATCATACAAAGTTCTTTTAAAATGTAGTCTGTGTTTAAACACTCCGCTTGCCCCTGCATTCCTGGGTGACCTGCATCATCACCCAGTCCTGGTGTCTTCCTTCCTTCCCCTTGGCTGAAGTTTCCCTGACTCCACATGTGAAGTCTCCATTGTCAGAGAACATTCCAACTCCTCTGAGACCATGCCTGCCCACTTTTGCCTCTCTGACTGTATTCAACTTGGGGTAGGCAAATCTCTATAAACATTCAGGCTTTATGGCCCTGCAGTCTAGGTCACAACTAACCCACTTTGCTGTTGTGCAAAAACAGCCACAGTAGAAGTGAGATGAATGAGTGTGACTGGGCTTCAGTAAAACTTTGTTTACAAAAATAGGCGGTGGGCCAGATTGATTCAGCCCGTGGGCCATAGTTTTCCCGGCCTAGACGCCTGTTTGAGACAGTCAACATCTGCTCCTTGCCTAGACTTGATCGACACCTGACTCATGTTTTCTTCCCCTTCCAGTAAGCCATGGTCCCATGTGGTCTCAGGCTTGTTCTCCTAGCCCTGTTTCATCCATGTGGCCTGTCCAACCTGTGCCAACCTGAGGCTCACCTGTTGTTTTCTCTTCACCTGACTAAGTGCTACACTGACATTCTATTTTGTCTCTCAAGTTTGTTGAAAATCACACAGAAGCACACTCAGAGCATTAGTCATTGAGGGGAGTTAACTCATTGTTATTTTCTCAGGTCCAGGTGGTGATAAGAACTTTGGAACTTGGGGGCACAAGGAGGATGGGAAGGAATCAGGGCAGGCATCTCCAGCACTGCTATGAGCCATCTTTCCTCCTTAAGCAAATCTTTTATGGTACAGGCACTGTTCTAAATCAGAGGATAAATCAGAGATGGAACAGAGTCATTTTCTTGGGAGTTTCCATTATAGTCAGGATGTTATAGAGCAGCCCCAATATTAAACGGGTTCCTGGCTGTGGGTCCTCACCCGCACGCCTAAAAGGGACTTATGAATACTCCACTACAGACACACACAAAAGGTTAATAAAAGGTTTATTTACAAGGGAAAAGGAAATAAGGAAAATGTACAACTCAGGGAGAAAATAGGGATATAAAGTCTTTAATGCGTCCTACCCGATCCAGGTCAAAGTCACTCTCAGAGCTGGCCAGACCTGGCGGAGAGCCAAAAATGGGGATCCCCCAAAGCCCACGTGTCTGCCTTTTATATCCACCTGGCTGCTTAACCCCACCCTCAGGTCCCAGCCACCTTCCCTTTGGTGGTGATGGGATTTGGAGTTTCCAGTGTCTTTGGCTTTGGCCTGGGGTGGGGGTGGAGTCCACAAAGCCTGTATGGAATTTAGCTTTAGGACATCCTTTTCCCCCTAACAAGGAGACTCCAGTGACCCACTCTAGTGTCTGGTGGTGATGAGTCTGTGTAGGGAAATATAGCAGACTAAGAAAACCAGTGATTGTTTTAGACAAAGTAGTTACGGAAGTTGTTCTCTAACTAGGAGGATTTGGAACAACCTGGGCTGCATCAAGAGGGAAGATCTCTATGGAAGGAATGTTCCAGGCAGAGGGAAAAGAGTGCAAAGACCTGAGATGGCACCAGGTTTGTCATGTTGCAGAACAGTCTGGAGCCTGTATGACTTGAGTGAAGTGGGCCAAGACTAGAGCATAGGGGATGAATTAGATTTTAATACACCCCTGTTTCTAAGTGCCCATGAAATGAACTTTGTAAGACACATAACCTGTGTGAATCCTGGCGAATTGTCAAGGACAACTATGCTCTGTATTGAGAGCTCATGATTTTATTAGCCCAATTGTGAACTAACTTTTGTGTATGATATGGGCAGGGGTTCAAATTTATTCCTTTGCAGGCTGATGCCCAGTTGTTTGATCACTATTTGTTGAAAAACTATTCTTTCCCACTGAATAGTCTTGATACTTGTTTTTATAAAAAGCCTAGCTCAAAGACAGGACGGACCCTCAGAGGCGTCTGTCCATCCAGCTCCTCAAACAGCCAGCTAAGTGGCTCAGAATCCAAGAGGATGAACATGAATCCAGAGGCATTTGGATATATCTGGAGGCTATTTTTAAGCGTCCTTATTTAACAATAAATTAATTGGGGAGGTATTTTACTCTAGAATAGATCTGAGTTTAACAATAAATAAATAGATCTGAGTTTAATAAAGCAAAAAGTATTTGCTTATAAAGACTTTTTGAGCTAAAATAATGCCACTTGTGATTTTACAGATGAGAACTATGAAGGCTCTTCTTTCCAGCTTGTCTTCAGTTTTCTTATCTGAAAAATGTTCGGTGGTACTTAAGTCTCCCAGGACCGCAGTGACGTACGAATATGAATAAAGTGCTTAGAAAGTGCACTTAGAAAACACCCAAGAGAGGAATGAATGGTTTCTCTGTCCTTATCATTCCCTTTGGCTCCCTCCTCCACTTCTTCCAGATCGCTTTCTTCCACCCTCAGCCCCCTGCTCTCCGTCTGCCCAGCTCCCTCCCCGCCTGCCCGCTCCCTGGCCTCCTGGCTCTCTCCCTCCCCGCCGGAAGTCTGCCTTGCGCGGTGCTCCGTGCGCGCGTCTGGAGCCCGGAACCTCCTGGGGCGCCCCGCTGCCGCCCCGCTCCCCGGACCCGGTAACCGCCCCCAGCCCGGCCCGGGCAGACCCTCAGGCTCCCCGATCCCAGACTAGCCGATCCCGTGACCCGGGCTCCGCTCGCTCGGGGCGGTGACAGCCCACCCGAGGCCGAGCCGTCCAGCCGCGCGCACCGGCCCGGGCTCCCCGCCCCGCGAGCGCGGCGCCCTCCGCCGGGTAATCCGTAGCTATATTTCCGAGCTCTGGAACTTCTCGTCTTCTCGCGCAACCCTGACTTCAGCGAGGCTGGGTTGCCCTGTGCACCCCCTTCTGTAATGTCTAACTCTGGAGCTCCCCTTGGAGGGACCTCGGAGGGTTGAGTGTTTTAGCTGCTTTGCCGCTTCTGCGGGGTATCTGCAGTGCTCAGAGTGGCCCCAAATTGAGAAATCTGCGGTGTTTTTGGAAGAGGTTGGAAGTGGAGCCTTATCCTGCAGACCATGTCAAAACTTCCTTCTGTGACCCAGGGCCTGGTTAGCTGGAGGACAGTGCCCGTGATCTTAGAGCAGGGGTCTGCCCTGGGCCAGCTTCTGAGAGCTGCGATGTTCGCCCAGGTCAGCGGACTTCTGCCCTGCCCTACACCGCGGAAAATCTCAGTCCCTGAGCCACCCAGAGGAGCCCTTTTGAAAAGTTTGCTCTCCTGCTTTCCATGTCCCCCCCCCCTTTTTTTTTAAAGATTTATTTATTTATGCATGTAAGAACTGGAATGAGGGCCAGAGATGCCTGGGGGTGAGAGGATTCAGCAGAGACAGAGTGGAGAGCAGATGAGGCAGATGTATTGAAATACGCTGCTGAGGGGAGCCGCAGGCGAGTCAGAAGAGGTCTGCTGTTCCATGTGGGTCACCTCCCTGGCCTGCCAGAGATGGAACTGGCTGTGAACAGCTTCATAGTGCTGCGTCTTAACCTCTTGAACTACCAGGGAGGCCCCTACTTTCCATTTACTTGTCCAGGTTATTGGTCAGTTTTTCTGATCCAAATCCAATCTGAAATTGGGTTCAGAGGCGTTAAAAGGGCAAGTGATAGAATCTTCCACACCAGAGATCACTGAGTTCATCCCCCATGGATGCTTGGCACCCCCCCATACAACAGTCCACAAAAGTGCTGGGTTTTCTTCCTCAACTTTACCACCTTCTGTAATAGTTAATTCTACTCAGCTTCTCTGTTTGGTTGACCTGACATGGAACCCAGTTAAGTATATTCTGTATAGCTTTGCCCTGCTGCCTGAATGCTGAGCCCTGGGGTTATTAAACAGGAGGGCAGTCCCTCCGGAGCAAGACAGTCACCTGTGCGCTATCATTCCAGGTCCTTAGGTTGGTATGTGGTGAGTCGGGTGTTAGGTCCTCTCCTTTCTCCTGGGCCAGTGTGTCCACATCCTCCTTCAAGTGGGGAACCCAGATCAGAGTCCAGTGCCCCAGTTGTGATGTGGTCCATCCCACCAGGGCTGGGCATTCCAGAAATGTTTTCTTTTGCTGCTCTCTGTAACTTGCCCCTGCCTTCACATCTGCTGTACCTTCTTTAGCAGCTCAGTGGACTCCCCTCCTTTAATCCCACTCTCTAAAGTACCTGGGTAGGATCCTCTGCTTGGAACTCCACAGCTTTGGCAGTTTGTATGGCTCTAATTCTTGCTACAAGGTTTCAGAAACTCCTACCTTTATTAGAGGCACTGCTATTCCTCAAGTCCCCTACTCTGTTTTGTTTTGTGAAACACTGGGCCTGCTTTGCTAATCTGCTGCAATTGACTTTTGGAGTTAACCTGATTTCATTTCTTTGACATGCACCCCTATGGAAGATGACCACATGTCCCAGTTTGCTTGAGACAAACTGGGTTTACCCAATGTCCCAGAATAATTATTATAGCATCCACTTTCTCTTTAAAAAGATTTCTGATTTAAACTTGTCTGTCTCTTAGTTGGATGGGCTTATCTGTAGGCATTCATGGGAGTAGTCTGTGGCAGCACAGACAGGACTCCCACTGGACTTGGAAGTGTCAGATCCAAAGTCTAAGAGACCAGAATTCCACATGTTAATACTATTTCTTAGCCTTTTTATAGGTTGGAAAGCTCAGATGGCTTTGGCCCAGGGGGCAGGAGTTCCCTTCTGGCGCTGGCAAAAAAAATGAGTCCAAGTTGGTGCTGAGAGCTATGTCTAACCAAATTCATGCTCAAAGGGCTTTTAAACTGGAGAAACTGAGTTTCCCACCATGATCCAGAGAAAGGTGTCCAGAGCTCAAGCTCAGCTGCTTGACATGGCACCTGGAGACCTAACTGATGTAGAGTGTGACCTAAGTTAGGCCTAGGGTCATCTACTCCCCACCCCACCCCTGAAGGCTCAATGAGAGAGCTCTGCTTCCACACAGGGCCAAGTAGCATGGCTAGAGGGCATTAAGGGCAGTTTAGCGTGGCTAGAGGGCATTAAGGGCAGTTTGAAGCACTCTCTGGGATTAGGACGAGAGGCAGGGTCCTGTTTTCAACTTGGATGACCAACCATCCCACTGTGCCCTACAGAAGGATTACCAGGGAAATGGGACATTGAATTAAAAAATCAGGAACCCGGGTGAGTTGGTCACCCCATTCTGAAATTTGGCTGTGCATTAGACTCACATGAGGAGTCTCTTGTGTAGAAAGCCTAACTTAATTGACTCAGATAGGGGTATTTTTTTAAATCTCCAATGTTGACTCAGACAACCAGTAGAGTAGAGAAACATTAGGTTATTTTGCTAAATAACCATTGAAGGTGGTTATATTTTTTAGTACAAATGGACCCAGACATCTCTCAGAAGGATGTATGACCAAGTGTGAAGGTCCATTCCTTGTCGAGAGCAGCATCTAAAGGGCTGTCGCCTGTTGTTATTGTGTTTCCCCACCCTGAAATCCTTCTTTCTCACTAGTGAGGACCAAATTTCTTCTCTTCCAGCATATGCTCTGGTACCCCCTCTCCTGAAGGCATCAGTCAGAAGAGCTGCCTCCTTTTGATTGGAGGGGTCATCATTTATTTGCACAATCCCAGGTGAAGGTGGCATAAGAGTCGAGACAGTGTTTGGTCTCCTAATCTGGGGCACTTACCCCAATGAGTGGTGGTCCAGGGACTAGCTGGGGGGACTGTGTATACTTGAGCTGTGCCCTGTGGAATGCTGAGCTTGAGACCAGATGCCTCTGGGACTGTCCCCTCTGCAGGCCTCCAGGATCATGTGGTACATCAGCACTAGGGGGATGACCCCACGGGTCGACTTTGAGGGGGCCCTCTTCTCTGGCTATGCACCTGATGGGGGCCTCTTCATGCCTGAAGAGCTCCCGCAGCTGGATGGAGAGACCCTTCGCCAGTGGAGCACGCTCTCCTATCCAGGGCTGGTGAAGGAGCTGTGCACCCTCTTTATTGGCCCTGAGCTCATTCCAAGAGACGACTTAAATGGTGAGCACCTCCTTACCTCCCAGCTCTTCCACCACTTCCCTTGCCAGCCCAGCCTCCCAAAGGGTTGCAAATCTACCACTAAACCCCCAAGATGTCTGTAGTCACATTTCCTAAATTTGGTGCTTTTCCCTCCAGACTCTGGAATTCCAGAATTGGAAATAGCCCCAAAGAACGTATCTATACGATTTCCCACCTCCAATGAGTGCCAAAGTGAAACTAGAGACAATTTTTTTCCTTTAGTTTATTTAAAAAAAAAAACAAAACAAAAACACAACTTTCTCAGGCTAGGAATTTCACCATCATCTCAAGCTGTTTGCATGTTAGGATTTTCCTTCCTGTGTGTAAAGCAACCAGCCCCTCTGATTGCTGGGTTATTTCCTTAGGTGGTAAGGAACTCTGGCTCCTGGACTGTTTGGTCTCAAACTGTAATGTACCTATGGATTCCCCCTGGGAGTCTTCTTAAAATCCGATTCTGATTCAGAAGGTCTGGGGTGTGCCTGAGAATTCTGCACTCATATCAAGTATCCAGATAATTCGCATTCTGTTGGCCCATGGATTAAATATATAATATAATCCATGATGTGATGGTGAGAGCTGGGGCCGAAAAGGAGAATGTGATCAATTGACAGCACTGATTGCGTTGCCCAGCACTTAGCAATCTCAGACTCGCTCAGACCTACTGAAACAGAATTGGCATTTTAAGAAAATCCTAGGTGATTGCTCTGCCAATCCTGCCTGCCTTAGGTAGGATTGTATGTAAGCCACCCCAAGGTTTTGGCATCACAGGTGTGAGATTAAGTAATGCAAAAAACCAAACAACTTCTTATCTTTGGGCAGGGAATGTAGAAGAGATAAGACATTGATTTGTTTGTTGCATAACTGTTTCATTGAACCTCTAATAAGAAACATGCTCACATGAAATCCAAACAATGAAGAACTTTATAAAGTAAAAAGTGAACATCTAACAGCAGCAGTTTTGCTCTCTGGAGGATCCCCATGAGGAATCTGAGCAATTAGTTTAATGTCTTTTCAGACTTGTCTAGGATTATACAATTATGTTCATACATGGTGGTGTTTAGGATAAAAATTTCTGGTTTTTTTATCTGGTAGCAGGAGATAGAAACTTCAAATTCAAAAGTGTAAAGAGACTGAGAGAGACTTGAAGGAAGAGATAACACCCTTCACCTGCTGTCCAACCCTCCTTCCCTTACAGATCTGATCCACCGGGCCTTTAGCAGATTCCGCCATAGAGAGGTGGTGCATCTGTCCAGGTTGCGGGACGGGCTGAACGTGCTGGAGCTGTGGCATGGGGCGACATATGCGTTTAAGGACCTGTCCCTGTGCTGCACAGCACAGTTCCTGCAGTACTTTCTAGAGAAAAGGGGGAAGCATGTCACCGTGGTGGTAGGTGTGTGTTGTGACGTGAGCACTGAAGCCCTTCGGCGCCCTCATTTCTGGGTGTCCTTCCGTGGAATGTTCTCCATTGACACCTCTCAGGAGTGTTACCTGGGCCTTCGTAATTTTTATTGACAGTCTGTTAGATGCTATGGAACCTTTCCAGAATAGTACTCTTAAATGTGTAAGATTATATGGTACCGAATTCACAGGTGCCTGAGTTCTGTCCATGGCTCTCTTGGAGGCTCATGGACTCTGGCTTAAGTACTGACTTCCTACCCTACAAAAAAACTGTCTCTAGTAGATAGTGCCTTATTTGGCAATAATGCTTGAGGGGCCATTTCTTTCTTTTTCCATCTCCCTTGTTCTACAGAACGGGTTCTCTTTTCTTCCCATCCAGGAACTTCTGGGGACACAGGGAGTGCTGCCATTGAGAGTGTTCAGGGGGCCAAGAATGTGGACATTATTGTTCTGCTGCCCAAGGGTCACTGTTCAAGGATCCAGGAGCTGCAGATGACAACGGTGCTGAGGGAGAATGTCCATGTGTTTGGAGGTGGGAGCTGGGACCCCGGCTCCAGGGACAGCATAGCACTGCATCGAGTGTGTCTGTTTTGGGTGGTGGCTGGAAGGAAACTAATCAGTTGACTAACTGACCATCCTGCCTCCTCCTCTTTCTCCCTCCCTTCTTTCATCATTCATGTTTCGAGGCTGGTATGTGCCTTGGCTTAGGCCTGGGCTGGCCCTTGGCTACACAGTAATCATAAACTATTGAGGTGACAGAGGCATAAACCAGCACTGACAGTGCAACCTAAGCAGGGCAAGCTTCAAACCATATCCCAAAGAATGCCAGCTCTGTGCAGTCCCCCGCTGTGCCTTGCTCATAGTCAGCCTCCCAGAGCCATCATCTGAGCCAAGTTTCTTCCTGGGGCACTGAAGTTTAAAGGGCATACACATGTTAATTGTCCTAAGAAATGGGTCACATGGACAGTTAAAAGAAATGCTTTAGTACAGAAGTGCGGGAAGAATTGAAGATCGCAAGCAATAGCAACAGTCCCCCTAGAGCCTGAGAGGGCACCAGCCTCTCCCCACCTCACAGTCTGATAAGCCATCCTTTACAGAGTGGGGGAGATAGTCATGTAATGCAAAGAGGAATCCTTTCCCCAACATACCAGAAAGCTGACATTCTATATATTATTTTATATAATGGTAGAAACTTTGGAAATATGACCATAAGAATATAAAACATGGCTTCTATCTTTGAGGAACTTAATTTTGAGTCAAGAAAGCCAGGGCAAGACAGGTGGGAATAAAGAAAGAAAGGCTGGCTGAGTGAAGGTCCCAGCACGAGGGGTTATGGGGTGGGGGGTGTGGCAAGTGCTGAAACCATGGGTTCTTGGTGCTTCTAAAAGCTGCCCTTAACTCTCTTCCCACAGTGGAGGGAAACAGCGATGAGCTTGATGAGCCAATCAAGGCTGTGTTTGCTGACACTGCTTTCGTCAGGAAGCACAATCTGATGAGCCTGAATTCAATCAACTGGTCCCGGGTCCTTGTGCAAATGGCCCACTACTTCTACGCTTACTTCCAGTGTGCACCTTCCATGGACACACACCCGCTGCCCGCTGTGGAGGTGGTTGTACCAACGGGGGCTGCTGGTAACCTTGCAGGTAAGGAGGCCCATGGGTGGAAATGGGCTTTCTGGAAGATACCCGTGAGCCTGTCTTTATGCTGCCCTTTGGGTGCAACTGCGAGGACAAAGATAAAAGTTGATGGGCATTTTTTCCTATGCCCGTTGGCCATTTGCATTTCCTCTTCAGAGAAGTTTCTTTTTAGCTCTTCTGCCCATTTTTGACTGGATTATTTTCTTTGTATTTGTTGAGTCTCATCAGCTCTTTGTAGATTTTTGTGATCAGTCCTTTATCATTAGTGTTGTATACAAAAATGTTCTCCCAGTTGGTGGGGTTTCTCTTTGTTTTGGTTAATGTCTCTTTTGCTGTGCAGAAGCTCTTTAATTTGATGTAGTCTCAGCTGTTTATCTTTGCCTTTACTATCACTGCTTTGGGTGATGTGTCTGTAAAGATGTCTTTGAGGTGCATGTCATTTAGTGTTTCGCCTATATTTCCTTCTATGTGTTTTATGGTTTCAGGTCTTATGTCTAGTTTTTTAATCCATTTTGAGTTGGTTTTTGTGCATGGTGTGAGGTAGTAGTCAAGCTTCATTCTTTTGCATGTAGCGACCCAGTTTTCCCAGCACCATTTATTGAACAACCTTTCTTTGCTCCAGTGCATATCAGGGAAATGCAAATCAAAAATACAATGAGATACCATCTTACACCAGTGAGAATGGCACATATATTAAAAAAAACAGCAACAACAAATGTTGGCGAGAACCAGTGCAAACTGGTCCAACCACTATGGAGAGCTGTGTAAGATAGAGCTTCCATATGATCCAGCAATTCCACTCCTAGGTATTCACCCAAATGACACAGAAACATTAATTCCAAAGGGCACCTGCACCCTTATGTTTATAGCAGCACTATTTACAATAGCTAAGCTATGGAAACAACCCAAATGCCCAAAAATAGATGACTGGATCAAGAAGATGAGGTATATATACACGATGGAATATTACTCAGCAATCAAAAAAGATAAACACATGCAGTTTGCAGCAACATGGATGGAGCTAGAAGGGATCATGCTCAGTGAAATAAGTCAGAAAGAAAAAGAAAAATACCAGATGGTCTCACTCATAGCAGGAATTTAGAAAACCTAAATAAGGGACCAGGAAAAAGACTAATTAATACAAAGTAAAAATCAAAATCAACAAGCAACTATAAACCAGAGACACACTGGTTTATAGACTCACTGGGGGTGAGGGGTGGGGAGAGGAAGGATTAGGGTCAAAATAAGGGAGGGGGTACAATTGTATGGGGAATATAACCAAAATGAAAATGCATACATTGTGCAAAAATGAAAAATGATCTAAGAATTATATAAAATAGGGCCTCCCCTGGTGGCGCAGCGATTGAGCCTGGGTTGCGAGGCTGCCCGCAGCCTCTGCAGCGCCAGTTTGATCCCCAGCCACCGGCGAGGGTCCCACAAAAAACAAAAAAAAAAGAATTATATAAAATAAAATATTAAAAAAAAAAAAGTTGATGGGCAACTCCCCACAAGAAGCTCCCTGAAATCTTCCCCTAACGCCCTCTAGGGACGCCTGGCTCTTGCTGCAGAGGGAGTTTGAGTTAACCTGGGTGAACTCCAGCAGCCTGACCTGAGGTGTTGCTCAGCAGAGTGTGCAAAGTGGGGTCAAGGTGCAGCTGCTGTGCCCGGCTGGCAGTGCCCTCTTCCAGAAATATGGACTTTACTCCCAGCCTTTACCGGTTGTCTGCTATGAGGGCAAGAGGCTCTTCTAGCAAATGTTCCCACTCCTACATGCCCAGATGCCCAGAGACTGTGAGGTGGAAGGAAATCTGGACTTAGGGTTCTGGCATCAGTTCTGCTCTTTACTAGCCTGGTGGCTATGGGACGCTGTTCCAAAGACTCAGCTCCCAGCTGTGAAAGGGAGATTGGGCAGCTTATCATAGTTTTCAGAACTGCTTTGAGGCACAATCTGATTTTTATATGTGTATGAACTTTGTAAGGATAAAGTGCTATATAGCTGGGTGGCATTGTAATTGGTTTTTTATAAGAATAATTCACATTGATCAATCACTTACCTATGCATCAAGCACTGCTGAGTGCCTTTCACATATCAACCCATTTATCTTGTGCTATGAGGAGGATGTTATTCCCATTTTTTTTAAAGATTTATTTATGCGAGGGGGCGGAGCAACATGGAGGCGAGGAGACGCTGCGAGTAAGATCTCCCATTAAAAAAAGTTAATAGGGAGGAAAAGCGGCAGGTCCCAGTGAGAACTGGGACACGGAAGATAAACGGGTGACTCCAGCAAACTACCCGAAGAAGAAAGTGGCCATAAAAGAGGACCAGAAGGGAGGGAAGCGCAGAACCCTGCTCCCCTCCCCTGCCCACAGAGGCGGCACTCTCCGACCGGCAGAGAGGAGGAAAACAACAAACCAAAACAACAAACAAGAACAAACTACGCAGCAAGCGGGACTGTGCGTGGAAAGGAACTATGGCAGCCACCACACCCCGTGAACGGGAGCTGAGGCGAACCCTGCAGGATCCGCCGCGGCGGTGAGCGAACGGCTCCGGGCGCCATTAGAGAAGAACAAAGACCCCTGGAGACACGCACACAGCCCGGGCTGCCGGTAAGCTGGCGCGGAAAGGGGCGCGCTCCGCGAGCTTGAAACCCGCGCCTGCAACCTAGGCTTGCGGGGAGACGACCTAGGCTTGCGGGGAGACGCGCGGAGGTCCTCACTGAGGTGAAGGTCCCTCCCTGAGTGAGCAGGAACCAGGCGCCCAGGCACGGGAGCTGTGCAAAAGGCGCCATTCCCGCGCCACTGAACTGGGCTACAGCCCGCGTCCTGGAACTGAGGGCTTTGAACTGAGACCCGGGGCACGAAAATTCGGGGCGTGGGTTCTCCACGACGGTGGGGCACAAGGCAGACACAGCACCCCAAAGCTGTTGAGGTGTACCCTACCATTCCCGCTCTGTTCCCTGTCCCACGGGGTGGGGGGGGACGAAAAACAGCCCCCCAAGGACAATAGGAGAGATCTCTGGCGCCACCTAGTGACCAGGAAAAAAAAAGTCACAAACACCCCATAGAACAGGAAATTTCTTAAGACTGCTTGAAAAGGGCAGAAGGCTTCTGCAGTGGCCAGCCGGGAAGTTATTCCACGCCAGACCCCTTACGACCAGCAGTCTGAGCCCACAGAGGGAGCAGGCACCCACGTCCGGGGCAGACCGGGTGCGCAGAAGAGTGTGCCTGAAACCGGAGGCGCAGGGACTGCATCCCGCTTCGCCATTTGAGAAAAGGGACATTTCTTCAGTAAAAACTGCCTAAAACCAGCAGAAAGCTCCCCCAGAAGGCAGAGATGGCTCCTGGAAGAGCCAGAGGGGAGCGGAGAAGTTCACCCAAGATGCCAGTCAGTCCGAGCATCACAGTGTCCCAACGCATACGACAAATTAGAAAACAGACAGTAGGGAGTAGAAGAACCACACGCAACCTAACAACTCCTCAGGAAAGAAGCACACCACAAAAAGAAAACCACTCCCCAGATTGCAACGACAGCAACTTGGAAGAACTTCTGAGCCTTCCAGAAAGAGAATTTAAAATTGCCATGATTAAAAAAGTGATAGATCAGAAGAAGGAAATTGAGTCCCTAAAGAGGGAAAACAATGGTCAGAAGAATGAAATTGAGTCCCTAAAGAGGGAAGTAAAAGAAATGCAGGAGATCAAAGAATTAATGGAGGAACTAAAGAACTCCGGGAAAAGCAAGGAAAGCAGAATAGATGAAATGGAAGAATGAATAAGTTCTCTTGAAGACACAGAAATAAAAAGAACCAAAACAGAAAAGGAAAGAGAAGTACGAAGGAAAAAGAATGAAGAAAGACTTCGAGAACTATCTGACTCCATGAGGAAAGGAAATATAAGAGTTATAGGAATTCCAGAAGGAGAGGAGAGAGATGTAGGAACAGAGAAAATATTCATGGATATAATTGAAGAGAACTTCCCAAATGAGAAGAAGGAGCTGAAAATTGATATACAAGAAGCAAGAAGAACACCAAACTTCCACGACGAAAGGAAAAACACAGCAAGACACATAATAGTAAAGCTCCCAAGAATCCAGGACAAGGAAAAAATAATGAAGCTGACAAGAGGGAAGAAACAGATAACATTCAAAGGAAAACCAATCAGGCTGACATCAGACTTCTCTGAAGAAACACTACGGGCAAGGAGAGAGTGGAGGGACATAGTCAACAGACTCCAAGAAAACAGATGCCAACCAAGAATACTCTATCCCGCAAAGCTCTCTTTCCTCCATGAAGAAAGAATATGGACCTTCCCAGACAAAGAGAAACTCCGGAATTTCATTACGAATAAACCCCCACTCCAAAAAATACTACAAGGAATCCTAAAGCCAGAACCTCAGAGGGACGAATAACAACGAAAGAAGACCAAAAAAAAAAAAAAAAAAGTTATTAAAAGAATAAATAAAATCAAAGGAAAGACAAACATAATGGCAAATACAGATGCTAACATATCAATATTAACTCTAAATGTAAATGGACTAAACTCTTCAATAAAAAGACACAGAGTTGCAGCCTGGATTAAGAAACAAAACCCAACCTTTTGCTGTCTCCAGGAAACACATTTAGCTACAAAAGATAAAAATAGGCTCAAAGTCAAAGGATGGAAAACAATCCTACAAGCAAATGGGCCAAAAAAGAAAGCAGGAACAGCTATACTTATATCAGATAAAACAGACTTCAAACTCAAAAAAATAAAAAGAGACCCCAATGGTCACTACATTATGATTAAGGGGACAATACTTCAAGAAGAAATAACACTCATTAACATATACTCACCAAACAAAAGAGCACCAAAATATATCAGACAACTGTTGTCCTCTCTGAAAACAGACATCAGAGAAAACACATACGTAGTGGGAGACTTCAACACACCACTATCAACAATGGATAGATCAACAAGACAAAAAATAAGTAAAGAAACTAAAGCTCTAAATAAGGACCTAGAGCATTTGG